TGCAAGTGAGAGTGCCTTGCCAGCATCACGCAAGAAGTATTTTGTTTTATCCTGGACTTCACCTTAATGAGAACTATTTCATGTAAGGTAATTTGATGATGTATTATAGCGAGCAGGAGTGTGTTTGTGTGCGATCGGGCACACGTGTGCGTGAAAGTAAACAAAAGAGTATTTAATGGAAGAGATGATCGCCGAGAGGAGAAGAAATAAATTGACCGTTGCAGAAGTGAATCCAGAAATAAATTAACAGTGATAGCAGTGAAATAAATAGCGCAGTGAATAGTGATATATCAACAATAGTGTAAATAAATAGAATAATTCATAACCTAAGTTTAGTAATAATTAAATAGTGTTTTAATGTTCTTTAATAATGACTATAAATAAATATTTTTTGTCGTTATCAGTCTTAGAAGTTAATTTTGTTAAACCCACGAACATTACAGTATGAATGAATCTCGATCGATCAAATGATTTTATACNAGCATTTATTTTTAATTTAATTTGTTTGAGAAGGTCACAAAAGTTAGTGAGTGAAACATCTCAATATTTAATGAATATTTAGACCTATAACAGTTCTAAATAAACAATCCAATTTTGATAAAAGCTTTTTTCCAAATCAAGCAACCGTTTCAATTTTCCTTTGCAGTAGGTGAATAGTCCTGTTCCTTTTTCCTTCTGCGATTATTTTTGTGAGTTTTAACCACTTCTAAACTCGATCAATTTGGATACCTATCAAAAGCACAAAATCCTGGAAAAGGAGCGTTGCGAATTTATAAAGACTGAAAACTGTTTTATAACATCTTTTCCCTTTAAAAAAAAGTAATAAAATCAGAAAAGGGGAAAATAAGAAATTTGAAATCTCCGAAATTCGATCCTTGTTTTTTATCATTTTCTTTTGCCACAGAATGCCAAGCCAAGCGAAGCGGAAAATTCCTTTAAAAAGTACTTACCTTATAACAGTATCTTATATAAATATAAACATCCAAATTGGGTCGCTAGGTTAAGAACCGTTCAACAATGCTTTGGCATAAACTTGATGACTTCGAAACAAATTCGTCGACAAGAATTTTGGCTACGAAACAACCTGCTTATCTTCCAATTCAGTTTCAGTTGACATGTCAAGACAGAATCTGTACGAATACATGATGGGCTATAAGTAAAACTGTGCTTGCTTAACGAATGCTGTACGAAATGTTTGTTAATCCAAATTATGTTTTATATATTATTCAAACATAATACATTCTGGATTTACCTTTTTTGTTATTTCTTACTGAAGCAGAGTGTGTCCATTTTATCGGGAAAATCTGGTTCTTCGGCGTATTTGTTTTATATGTTTGCGTAGGTAGGTACATTTTGTTTTTAATTTTCTGGGAAATTATGTGAACAACCATATTTTCCCTCAATAGAAATATTAAGAAGCATAAAATAGAAGAAGTAGAATAGAAATAATTAATAAACACTGATTAATTAAGTCTAATTCTACTTGGTGGAAATTCATAATAAAATTATAATTAAAATCATACTTCCTTGAAGATAGATGCAATTACTAATTCTTCCCTTAGAACATTAAAGGTAAATAAAAAGCAATCAATTCTAGGGTGTTTAATTAAAGTATATAATTAACATCAAAATTTCATCTGAGGTAATACGGCTTCTTCAGCGTAAGACTGGTAAAGTCAAAAATTATTTCTTTTTGTAGGTGTTACGGGACATTTTCAGTATAACATAATTTTCACCATTAGTTAAACATAATTAAATAGTGTTTTAATGTTCTTTAATAATGACTATAAATAAATATTTTTTGTCGTTATCAGTCTTAGAAGTTAATTTTGTTAAACCCACGAACATTACAGTATGAATGAATCTCGATCGATCAAATGATTTTATACATACATTTACACTATATGCACTTTCTACACAAGAATTATACATGGATAATTTATACCGAAAGCATTGTGACTTTTGATTGATTGATAAGATAGTTGATAAATAATTGATAGATTGATACGTGTCAAATTGGTTCGTTAGATAATAGAGCGATACTTGTTGTCCAGGAAATTGAACTGCGACTCGTTCCGTTTTCTCTTCAACTGTTACCGTCTATAAATTTCGCTCATATATTTGGACGATAACAGTAAATCATATACCCTGACTAGTCATTGTCCTTCCCAAAACCGAACACTTAGAACCAGCAAGTTTTGCAATATACACCTGACCTCTTTATCTATTCTTTGTTTTGCTTGACTGCTACACTAAACGCATCCTTATTTTCCCTTCCATCTTACCAACTTTTGAAAATCCTTTGGCTTTGAGAACCAGGAGTTGGTTTTTTTTTGCGGAAGCGGAAGTGTAATGAGTTTAGAGGACTCTTTAATGTAGTGGTCGTGCGCCTTTTCCGCGAATATTTTGTTACAAATTTTGCACCTAGCACTTGCATCGCCAATATTAATAAAATAATCCCAAATTGAATTTCTTTTTGGCTTCATAATTATACTTTTAACTTAAAATTTACACCACCAGATAAACACTATGCAAAATAAATAAACGCTATAGCTGTATTAATATTTTAGGAATCAAATTATTAGAATTGGTTAAGGGGAACTGAAAGTCCTGGACGTTTTTAGATTAAAGTAAGAAACCAATAAGAGAATAAAATCTGGAAAATATAACTATATAGTAAATAGATTTAGGTTCTAAACTATAAGAAAGTTATTTGCACAGGAACAGTGTTATTAGTAACAAAAGTTTGCCGGCTATAACGCTACATTGACGCTAATACTTCATAAACATAAACGGTTGATACGTTCACAATGTTACAGAGAGAAAGGTCGCTGAATGCTGGCGCAGGTGCCTGTACAACGTGTAGCACTGCAACGAACAATTCCATTTAAATTGTGTTTTAAAAACGTCCAAGTTCAGCGAACAGATAGAAGTAGTAAATTTTTACGACTTGTTTTATTGTTCCGATATATTGATTACCAAAAAGATGAAAAATAAGATTTTGTTAAGTGCCGATATGCTTCTGTTATAAAAATACGGAACCAGATGCAACGCGGATGTGAAAATATATGCGGAACTTCCGTAATTGCGAAAGCGGAAGCAGAAGTCTGTTGCAACACTAGTAATTACCCACTTGGGAATTTTTCAGGTAGGTACTGCTACCTATACCACCATGACTTTCTGCCAGTNGCTGCATCAAGTGCTTGTTTGATGCTTGGTGGAGGGACAGGATCGTCTTCTTCAACAACGTACACAGCTGCAGTTCTTATCTATTTCGGCAACTTAGAAAGTACTGCTTAATGATTTATAATGCCGCATTGTTGTCGTTAAATAGAGTGAACGTGACGCTATATAGAGTGTAATATTGTATAGAAAACAATGTAAACCAACCAAAGTCAAGCAATTTCGATGTTTTAAGAAGTTTGTCGTTAAATCGAGTGACGTTATAAAGAGTTTACACTGTACATCATCAGGATTTTGATATACCTATCTTAACCTCGAAATTTGGTTTTGAAATTCAGACTTATTCAAATTACAATACCTATGCTACAGCTTTTTTTGGATTCAGATTCGATTAGGGTCGTCCATAAAATACGTCCCTTCCTCTACACGATCCCTTGCGATTAACAATAGCAATGAGAATAACTTTCCATCGAAATAAAAGTTAAGAAAAAAATTAAAAATAAAATTGATAAGCAGGGAATAGCACATTTTCTTAAACCTTCCCTTTTGTCATATCTCGTTACTCTAAACAATACCTTTTCCTTTTCCTTATTTGCGAATGTATTTTATACCCCATTTGAAAAACATCGAGAATGATCACCTTTATTTCTGAGTCTTTTTTAAAATTCCCCATAGGGGACGCCTTTAAAAGAGAAAACACGCGGAGGCTAATCACTAAGCACCGCATGTCATCGCAGATGCATATAACGTTTGCACTTACGTCAACTGTCATAACCGTTAAATATTCTTTATTGTTATTAAAAACAAATTAACTTTTTCCTAGGCCAGTGTCAGCTCAAAATTGACAATAGAAAAATGATAGCACATCCTTATAATTAACACTAAGGACTAAGAACAAAATTCTTTCTATACGCGCCCCTAATAATGGTGTCATCTGCGAACGACATGTGATTCTTAGTAATTATTTATTGATGAATATATTTTTTTAAACTATTTTAATCACAAAGAAATAACTTCTACATTTTTTCCCAAATTAGTTTTGATAAATGTTTCTCATTATTTTCATTTAAAATACTATGACTTTATTAAGTTTTTCTATATATCTATATATCATGATTAGGTAAATTAGAGAAAAGTAAAAATTTCAAGTTTGTTAACACTTCTAATTTCGGTCAAGATTTACCTGATACGACCCAATCTAAGTGTAAGTGAAAAACCAATTGAGTGGAAGGGGTCCAAAACATGATTTTTTCAAACTTTATCTAAATCTTCATTTCGTCCGTCTCATCTTTCTCTCCCCAACCACCACTCACACGTTCCTTTGATTCCTTAAAGGATGCTGAACAGGGTCTTTCATTTTATTTTTCGGCTTAGTCCAGAGGGACAGCATTAGTACCTGGTGGGAACGAAACACCAAAAATTTTGTTTATTTTGTTTAGCGACTCTTGTAACTACAGATAGACAGACGCACGGATAGAAGGAAACCATATACCCTATGTTTGATCAATACTCCGGAAAAAATTAGGGAGAATAAGGTACCTGAAAGAAAAATAGAATGACCCATCTCGCATTACTCAGTAAACATGAGGATAGTGACCTTACCGAAAGCCCCAGCTGCTCCGACAATGATGACCAGGATTAACGAGAGCGCAACTGTGTAATGGAGTGTCGGTGCAAATCATGTGCAATTGGCCTGTCTGCGTACCAGCTGCTGCGAAGGTCACGAGAAGGTACATGTGTTTCGTCAAATGACGCTTGCGGTAAGATAGCGAGGCCGACGACCTGACAAGTTTTCTCAATCNGTACTTTCTTTCCAGGAGTAAAGCCGTGGTGGAAGAGATTCGACAATGAGAACATGATTATCCTCATAGCTGTCATCATTGGAATCATAATTTGCGTCATCATCATTTGCATCATAATCATATGCATTTGCAGAAGAAAACGATCTCAAAGTAAATGTAAGTTATTTTTCATTTATACTTGCAAACGAAGAAATACTCAGAATGATGATAGTAATAGTAATAATAATATTAATCAATGCAAGTTTGTTTGCTTTTACTATAATATCGTTGTAATAACCGCAATTAACTAACACAGTTTTATTATTGTGATGAACAACAGATAATAGTCATGTGGAGTTGGAAGAGAGAGAAAAGTAAGTATGAATGCTACAATAGTACCTATCAGGTGGTGGTTTTGGGGTGGATTTTTTATTTAAATATCACATTCGTTTCTCTATTTGCACAATGATTTCTTCAAGCTGAAATAATAAAATAAGAAAAACTGCCTGAAAATCTTATTTATGGATTAAGAACCGAAACTTTATACTTGTATGTAATGTAACATAAATGTATCTACCCTTTAAAATAACTCAAAGTATATTTATTATTTACTATTATGAGTTATAGTGGAGGCTGCAATTCAACAGTTACTGAAATGTCATAAAATGTCTAAATTCAACTAGCGGTATAACTGAAATGTCTAGGACAGACACGATAAACCTCTATAGACTTATATTAGGTATTGGGTACCTAAATTGAGTATTACCCTTTTCGTCTAAGCTGTGTCGAAATCAGGAACTATTCGACTATTAACATTGTATTATCATCAGCGTTCACTGCGGATTGTGACTTATACTCTTAAATTTAAATACATAGTAAATACAGTGTAAACTCTATATAACGACACTTAAGGGACTGAACATTTTTCGGCGTTATAAAGAGTGGTCGTTAAATCGAGAGAAATAAAAGATATTATTTTACTATTCTATAATAATATGCATTTACCAATATAGTACACATTTTGCACACGAACATTATTATTCATACATTGCGTATAGCCTGTTATCTTCGTCTGATGTTTTTTGCTGCTCCAATATTTTAATTGTATTTTGTTACGTATCT